CCTCAAGAACTTCATTTCCCAGGACCCCAAATTCGACCAAATCGACTTCGAACCCAACCATACGGCATCATTTTCCAGGGAGCTTATCCCGAATGACGACATGAGGACCGGAATTGTTGGTTTTGAGGGGAGAGGTGAAATGGGGGTGAAGAAAAGGAAGCGAGGGAGGAAGCCCAAAGTGAAAGTCTTGGGTTTGGAGAATGAGGGCTATGCGGGTATGGGGATGGTGAATACGGAGGGCGCTGCAGTCGACATTTCGGGTTTGGGGAATGCAGAAGAGCCTTTTGGGGAGGAGTTGAGGCGGAGGACGGTGGGTTTGGAAACGGAGGAGGAGTTGTTGGGGTTTATGAGGGATTTGGGTGGGCAGTGGGGGAGTAGGAGGAAGAAGAGGAAGATAGTGGATGCCAGTGAGTTCGGGGATGCCTTGCCAGTCGGTTGGAAGCTCTTGCTAGGGCTTAAGAGGAAGGAAGGACGTGCTTGGATATACTGCCGCCGATACATAAGGTTTTACTTGCTTTGTTTCTTCTTCAGTTCAGTCACTTGTATTAGGCTTGGCAACATTGAGTTCTACTAAGTTATTGTCTGATAGTTTTATATTCTATTGCTCGACATTGACCTTGCCGTGACATTTTGTTCTTGTGCATTGTTCCTGATAAAACTTATTCTTCTTTGTTGATCATGGGCTCCCGATTGTTAGAAATTTGTATGCATGTGTCAGTAGGGGTGCCCGCAATTCAAAGCTTATGTATTTTATTTTATCATACCCATGAGAAGGCTTCTCTTGTATGGTAACATAGGTTATCTTAGCAGATCATCCTTGAGTAATGATGATCAAATTAGGATTCTGTACCTGTTTTCACCCCTCATACAAAAGAACTACTGGAGATACAAACACAAGGGCGGTCACTCGTGTTAGTGTCTATGTTTTCGTGATTGGCTGTAGGGTTGGACAATAACATTGAATGATCTACCACAAAGCATTAATGTTGAATAGTTTGCTAAAGCCTGGAAATTACTTTGTTAATTTGATAGATACTGATAACCTAATAATTTGGTTGAAGTATGTCGCATGACTACCCTGATGCCTGATGTGGCAGTGTTAGAGAAAGCAGAAATGTGTGTTGTATATTTTGAAAACCTGAACAAAATGCATAACTATTTAATTGACCAAAAAAAATTCATAACCTGAACAAAATTCGTAACCAGTTAACTGATGCCTGGTGGTTATTTATAGTTTCATGTCAGTATTCCTTCTACTTCATATCCTGTATTTTGGAGTCACCTCTCTCTCTTGTGTTTCTCATCATTACGAGTTGCTTGCACTTTCCAGCCCTACTGGAGAACAATTTCTGACCTGCAAGGAAGTTTCTTCATTTCTTCACTCCTTCACCGATCACAATAATGCACAACAGCTAGATAGTGGCCATGCGCGTGAGAATGTTCCGGAAGAGTGCATAGTGGCTACTGAAAATGTAAGTTATATATTAGTGCAGCTGTGTGGTTTACTGTACCTTGGATGATTTTTCAAATTTTCTTTGGGGTGCAGCAGCATGCTGATAAGCATGGAGACCGTAGGCAAGATGTGAATTCCAGCTCTGCTTTAGTCGTGTCTTCTATGTCTAATGAGCGTGAAAAGGAAGTTACCTTATTGGGAGTAGACAATCTTGCTGAGGTTCAGATACATGACCTTTTTGAATGTCACAAATGCAATTTGACTTTTAATGAGAAGGATTCGTATTTGCAGCATCTATTGTCCTTTCACCAAAGGACTACGAGGAAGTATAGACTTGGTTCTACTGTTGGTGATGGTGTGATAATTAAAGATGGGAAATATGAATGCCAGTTTTGCCATAAGGTATTTCTGGAAAGGCGTCGCTACAATGGTCATGTAGGGATTCATGTCCGAAATTATGTCAGGAGGGTGGAAGAATCACCAGGTCCAACAACTCTTCAAAAGAGAATAGAGTCTCCAAACAGTGAAGGTTTGCCGTCAAGGACTTCAAAAATGGATGCTCTGATTGAAATTGCTCAAAACTCTATCATGGAAACGTCAACTGCTGGGCCTAATGATCAATCCAAGGGTGATGCTGCACTTGATAAACCATACATGGGATGTAGTTCAGAAATTCATGCCTCCGATTCTCATCAAGAAATGAACATAGATTCACCTCTTAGTGAACAGGACCTGGACGGTCGCTTGTTTGACAGAATCGATTCAGATCAACATGATAGTGAGCATACAATAACTGATGGAAGTATGGAAGGAGCTGACGATCCTATGGAAGTTGAAGATATTAATGACTCTTGTATGAATACAAATGAGTTATCTGCTACAGAGAAAAACGGTAAACCATCTGAATGTTCTTTGGACAAAGATGGCTTGGCATCCACCTCTGACGAGTTAAAGAAGTCAGGCACTAATCAGGATGGAGCTACTCGCTGCAAGATAGATGCTTCTTCGAATGACGAGTTTATTTGTGATGCAGTAGGGAATGAAATTTTGAATTGCACAAGTGCATTAGAGCATCCCAATTTCATTGATCACAGCACTAACAAGAATAGTGAACAAGCAGTTGACTTTGGTAGCAGCATTGAACAGGAACCATCTAAATCTAGTGATACTTTGATAGAATCTGTACTCCAAGCTTATGAAGGAAATGAACTGCAAATTGGGATTTCGGACTCCTCAATATCAGTGGTGAAATCAGTGGTCTGCTTTCCCACATCTACTGCAGTATCGGACGAGGTACCATCAAGCATTGCTGCCATATTTAGTTTCTTTCTAGTTTCTAGATATACTGATACACCAGAATCGTGTTCAAGGTTTTCTCCTTATAGTTAAGACCAAAGTTATTGCTGAAGAACTGACAAAAAAGATATATCATTTTCTTTTTCCTCGATTTCAACCTTGAACCCTGCCCCAAATATAGCAAATAAGAAGTCTGGAATGTTGTAGGAGTTAAGCCAGCATTCTGTTTAGAGGTATTTGTCGAATTCCCCCTTGAACTTGTAACCCGCTGTCAATTTACCCCCTAAACTTTTATTTTAGCCATTACCCCCTTGAACTTTTATTTTCCATGATAGACCCTAACTAATTAATTACATCGTAAGTGGCAATAATTCTTCATTAGTACTATAATAACAATTCTTTGATGTGATTATATTCCTTTGTTCTGTGCAAGATTTTTAGAAAATTAATTTCGTTGTTCGTTCTTCATGTTGAAAGGGTGACCAGCATCTTATAAGTGTTGCCCATAGACATGATGATACAGGGTTTGAGGAGCTAGGGTTGGACGAAATTGAACCACTGAAGTATGGGTTTCCTAGTGGGCAAGAATCTATTACACTGCAGGAGTTACCAATGGATTTGACAAATACTGCAGAGATGGAAAAGGCATTTGGTTCCTCTGTCCAGTTTGAATCAGAAGAAGTCATGCTAAGCATGGCTGGCGGACGTCATATAACAACTGCGTGTGTATGGTGCGGAGTAGAGTTCAACCATGAGGGTGTTGATTCTGAAATTCAACCAGATTCGGTCGGTTTTATGTGTCCAACTTGCAAAACAAAAATCTCTGGGCAACTCAATGTGTTAGATGATGACATGCCTGTGAATGCTAATCCATTCTAAACAACGGTATCTGGTATCCTATCATTTCATGTGATTAGTTTCTAATGTTGTCAGTTGCTTTTATTTTTGTTAACCTGATTATTTTAGGATGTTTTCTCCTCCTCCTTTTGGATTTCTTAGTCATAATTGCCAAATTATATATATATATATATATTTTTTTTTTTTAATTTTAGTTTTTTTGGGGTCAATTTGAACCTCAATTGGCTAGTACTCACCATGGGAAATGAATTCTACATATTCTTTTTCACCTTCTGCACGCCCCCTCTTAGTTATGGCCATTGATTCTTCTTGATTTATTTAATCACAGGGCTGCAAAAAAAAAAACAAAGGTGTGCATGAAGTGAAAAATGGCGTGCATAAATCATTTCCCTCACCTTATTATGTTTATGCAGTGTGAATTGGCATCTCTCCCTCCCTCTGCGCTTTTCTCCGGTCAGCGGTAAACTGAGAATCTAAGAGACCGAAATTAAAGGGTGCCATTGGCATTTAATGAAGTTAAGGGCATCTAGTTCTTGTAAGATGGTGCCGATATTCCCCACTTTTTTAATTTAACAGATAAGACAGACCTCAGTTTATTTATATTGATTTTTTAATACAAGCGGTGTTACTACTAAAATCTACACTGAGGCAACAAAGAGTGATATTTTCGGGGGTCATTCGTGGCTGAGGAATTATGTTGTATTTCTAATGAGTATGTAATAGAGGAATTGTGGTGTTTCTTTTGGTATGTGTAGCTCTTGTTCATGCTCTATAAACTTCCGCTAGGTCAAGTTTGATTTGAAACCTACATTTAGCATGCATGGCTTATGTAATTTCTTGACTGTGGTTGGTAAAATTTCATTTGATCTAAATTAATAAAGTGTTATAACACCACCATCTTTCAAACGATGAAAAAAAAAAAAAAAAAAATCCCAAATCCACAAAGCAAACCATCGGCGAATATGTTGAGTGCTATACAAAGATCGGTTTTTACGAGGTGTTATTTTGGTTGTGCTATCCACACCTATTTGTTTTCAGTTCAAACGATCCAACTGCTAAAAATTGAGAGATCTGCGTAGGAAGTAACACACATCCCTAAATATAAAGTTTAAATTAAAGTAAATCAAATCCCATGATAGTGGCTCTTGTCTATACCATGTTTAAATCAGCCATTCGTAGGACATCTAGTTCTTCCTTTTATTACATGACTCAGAATAAGCATAAGAAGCATGGCCATGCATATGCTGCTAAGTAATTGGACAGATTAATGAATTCACACTTTACCTTTAAATTAATATGTATGAATTTTCTAGATAAATGGTGGATTGCATTGGTGGTTACATTTTATCGTTGTTATTGGTTTAACAATTAATTATTGAAAATCCCAGATGATATAAAAGCTATCCCTTTCCACCTAGCTCGTTGTATCATGCTTACCTATGTAGCTAACCTTCTATATATAGATATTGCTTGACTGGCTTTGTAGCCTAGCTTTGAGATATATATTATACATGAAGCCGAAAAAAAATGATCTATGTTAGACATGGATGATCATGACTAAAAGAAAAAACAATCGCTTGCCCTAACTGCAAAGAACTGACGCTGGGTGGTACACAGCACCGATGCTTTGCCCTAACTGTAAGGAACTGACGCTGGTTGGCACACAGCATCAATGCGTCCGCAGTAATGTAATCATTTACAGTTGTGCTTCAGAAACACAAGGAGAAACTATTAGTCGTGTTCGTGGAGATCACGAAGGTGAGCATCATAGCCTGGAGAGAGGGCTTAGCAGGCGTTACCAAACCAAGGAATCACCATCAAGTAATTCTTCTAGTACTGGTAGTTCAAGTGTTAATAGTTTCAAGCCATCTTACATAAAAAACAAAGGATCTTGCCATAAATGCAAGCAATGGGTTCAACTGCCCCTGTATGGCACACAGCAACGATGCCTCTGCGGTTATGTAATGACTTACGGTGCTGCTGCAGAAACACAAGGAGAAACTAGTAGTTATGTTCGTGGAGATCACAAAGGCGAGTATCATAGCCTCCAAACCAAGGAATCATCACGAAACAATTCTTCTAGTACTAGTAGTTCAGGTCGTAATAGTTTCAAGCAATTTTATACAGGGACAGGGATGCCGATGCGTTTCCCTCCTCCCGCTTGGAGGAGCCAGTGCCCAGTGGATCACGACCAAACATGCGTGCACTTCTTTGCGGTTTGACATACAAGCACCTTAAATACAATCTCAAGGGCATTCATAATGATGTGATGAACATGGAAGACTTGTTGATCAAAACCTTGGGTTTTCCTGCCAACTGCATACGCATACTTTCGGGTAATTATTAATTAATTAGCTACTCAAGTTAATTATTTATCGATCGTAATCCTATAAGCCTTCGCTGATTACATGTATAATTTTTCGTCAATTAGAAAACATTGGTATCCAAGATTATGCAAAGAGGTTAAAAGAGAAGCCAATAATAAAAGATGAAATGAGATAGAAAAGGGGGGAAAAGATAAAAGAAGTGGTTATTTGTGATGACCCTGCGTTGGCATTAAATCCCACATCGTTTGGGTGAGGAAAGGTGATGAACTTCATCTTATCTCTCATAACGAGATCTTTCGGGAATGGAGGCCTACGAACAAAACCGTGCGGGCCAGACTCAAAGCGGACAATATCTTGCTGGAGAGAGAGTTTTTGATATTATTTGTGCTTCATAATATAGTATTTTTATACTATCAAACCATTCAATGAATGCAGAAGATATTTGTGCTTTTTTAAGATAATATGTTTACGTTTTCAAATCATCAATGAATGCAGAAGATGATCCGCTTGACCTAGAGCGGATTCCCACAAAGAAAAACATAGAGAATTCCTTGAAATGGCTTGTGGAGGACTGCCAGCGGGGAGACTCGTTGGTGTTCTACTTCTCAGGGCATGGCTTACGACAGTCTGATTTCAAAGACGATGAGCTTGATGGTTTCGACGAGACCATTTGCCCTGTTGATTTTATGAAAGAAGGAATTGTGCTTGACAATGATATTAATGAAACCATTGTTCGGCCACTCAAGGAGGGTGTTACACTCCTCGCTATCGTTGATGCTTCTAACATTAATGGAACGATTCTTGATCTGGAGTACGTGTACAACCATAAACTGTGAGTTACATATACAAGAAGTACTTTCAATCTTTAAATTCGAATTTATACGATTACAAGTACGAGATCATTTACTCTGTTCTTAACGTACCAAATGTAGATGCCTCGCACACGACCATTGCCGGATAGCTAATCTCGCCTAATCTTTCTCCATTTCACTTAAAAAAATTACTTTCAATCTGTGACTTCATACTTGTACGATTACAAGAGTAATACCACAACATGTATTATAAATGTGATTCAAGTTTTACAATTCAGAAAGCATGGGCATCGAATCCGTATTCTTGAGATTAATACTGTCCGTATACCACAGCGGCATGCAATGTGATCTCACCATAACTCTAGAAGGTTTCTCCTTTATAATTAACTGTGACATACGTTTTCTTTTTACTTGTTTTGCAGGAATGCTTGGAAAGAAAATATTCCTCCATCTGGTGTTAGAAAAAGTACGAATGGTGGGTTAGCGATTTCTCTCAGTACTTGCGAAGATAATACTACAGTAAGTGATGCTTCTATTCAATGTGATCAAAGTATGTTTAAGGAACATATAAAAGCCAACTTCTGAATGTTTTCAAGTTGAATCGAGACGAAAGTTAGTCATGAAAGAAACCTATCCGTTCTTGTCCCCATAAGTTGATAGGATTCAAAGGCGTAAATTTTCTGTAGTAAGTCCTCATCCGTTCAACTCCCTTTCATTGTACTTATGCAGGAATTTTTCCCCTTTTTCTCTTTCTTCTGATATACAATAGTATTAATCAACAGATGAAGGCTTTTACTGGAAGAGCAATGCAAGGTGCTATGACATACATTCTCACTCATCATAACTATGGCAGATTCAGCCATAAAAACACAGAAAAGCTTAAAGTATGAAGCTATGGAAATCGCAGAGAGAGAGAGAGAGAGAGAGATAGAAACTTGCAAAAGAAGCTGATGTATTATCCAAACAAAATCATCAACAATTACATTAGTATTAAGCTCTATTTATAGTAGCTGTCAAAGCTTCTAACAGCTGTCAAAGTTAATGACTAAGGAATCTAACAAATCTAACTACCTTAGCTGATGTGTACAAAACATGAAATGACTCAAATACCCCACCATTTATTTCCTCTGTTAATACTCCCCCTCAATCTTAGCTGGGATATCCTAGTCTGAGATTGGAACAATGATGAACAAACAAAGGACTATGTGACCCTTTTGTTAACATATCTGCAACATGTGCCTCAGTGGGAATATACTGAACCTGTAGATCACCTTTTTGCACTCGTTCACGAACAAAATGAAAATCTGTATCTAAATGTTTAATCCTAGTATGAAATACTGGATTAGAACACAACGATAAGGTAGAAAGATTATGACAAAGTATCAAAGGTACTGAAGGAAGAAAAACATGAACATCTTTAAGAACTAATCGTATCCAAGCCACATTCGCTGCTGCATTAGATAAGGCTTTACATTCAACCTCAGTGGAACTTCGAGAGACACTGCCTTGTTTCTTAGATTGCCAGGAAACATGATTTGAGCCCAGAAAAACAATGTAACCAATGGTAGACCTCCTTGTATTTATATTCACTGCCCAATCAGCATCATTATAAGCAAGTAAATCCATTTCTCCTTGAGCATAGTAAGTTAAGCCACATTGTATCGTACCTTTCAAATATCTGAGGATTCTTTTAATCAAACAGAAATGAGCTTTAGTTGGTGTTGTCATAAATTGACAAGCATAGTTGACAGCATATGCAATATCAGGCCTTGTAAAGGTGAGATATTGCAATGCACCAACTAAAATTCTGTAAATTGTTGGATCAGACCGTGGTTCCCCTTCGTCTTTAAGCAATTGAGTATGAGGTTTACTTGGAGTTGAACAAGGTCTGCAATTCACCATTCTTGCCTTATTGAGAAGGTCAGTCACATACTTTGACTGATTAATGAAGATATCTCCATTTTCTCTGTAAGTGATTTGAAGTCCCAAAAAATAGGTAAGCTTTCCCATGTCCTTCATATTAAAAACACTACCCAAATCATTAACTACTTGTTGAATAAGTTGAGATGAAGAACCTGTGATGATAATATCATCAACATATAGTAACAAGATGACCACATCAGTCCCAAACACTTTCACAAACAAACTAGGATCTAAATGAGATGACTGAAAGTTTAAGGAAGGTAAATAACTTGTCAACTTGGCATTCCAAGCCCATGGAGCCTGTTTAAGGCTATATAATGACTTGAGAAGCTTACACACATGATTAGGATACCTAGAATCTTGAAAACCTTGAGGTTGTTTCATAAAAACTTCTTCTTGTAACTCTCCATGAAGGAAAACATTCTTTACATCCAATTGCCTCAATTCCCATCTGTTCATAGCAACAATAACAAAACCAACCCTACTGTTGTGTGTCTTACCACTGGACTAAGAGTCTCTTCATAGTCCAATCCTTGTTCTTGACTATATCCTTGTGCAACTAAACGTGCCTTATATCTTGATACTTTGCCATCTTGATCCTTCTTTATCTTGTACACCCATTTGCTCCCTATCACATTTCTGTTAACTGGAGGTGGTACTAACTCCCAAGTACCTTGTTTATGTAAAGCCTCAAACTCTTCTTTCATAGCATTTCTCCAGTCCTAAAAAATAACAGCTTGCTTATAATGAGAAGGTTCTAATGAATCATGAATGTTGAGAACAACAGTGAATCCACAGAACATCACATCATCATCATGAGTACTAGAAAACACCTGATTATCTGATGCATAAGCATAATAACTAGAATAGTCTTTCTTTTGCAAAACTCCACTTTTTAATCGTGTAACCATATTATGCCCAGAAGAAGTATGTATAACAGGAGATAGAGCCTCAAAATTAAAGATATTGTCATAAGTAGCAAGCATAGGTGATAAAGAAGATACATGCTCAAAAGAAATATTGTCAGCTAAAGATTGTGAACATACCTGATTTTGGTCTAGGGCATGGACATGCAACACTTGAGAGGAAGAATGAGATTGATGTAGAGTAATAGCTTGTGTATCTTGTAATGGTTCTTGTGCTTGACTTGGAGACAAACTTGAAGGCTAAGATGAAATAAAATGCATATCCATAGATTGACTATTTTCACCAATTACTTCTCTAGTTTGTTCAGATGAACCATGCAACACAACAGATACCATTCTTGGTAACTCTTTCTGTGATGATATAACATGCAAAGAAACATTAACAGAAGAAGATGGCGACTTCTTAAAAGGAAACACACTTTCATTATGGATTACATGTCTTGATAACAGTAGCCTTTCTGTATTCCTATTATAACACAACACTCCCTTGCAACCAACCGAATAGCCCAAAAAAACACACATTCATCACTTCTAGCTTGTAACTTATTGGCATTATAAGGTCTTAAGTAGGGATAGACGGCAGTACCAAAGACCTTCAAGGAAACCAGAGATGAAGATTGTCCAAACAACTTAAGATAAGGAGAAATCATATCTAGGTTTTGGCAAGGCATTCTATTTATTAAAAAACACAGCATGACTACAAGCTTGGAACCAAAACTTTTGAGGTAATCCTGCAGTGCTCAATAATGTCACGATAATCTCAATTATATGCCTATTTTTCCTTTTCGCCAACCCATTCTGTTGAGGGGTATATAGACAAGATACAAGATGGAAAATCCATTTGTGTCCAAAAATTGTTTAAAGACTCTACTCATGTATTCTCTTCTTCCATTAGATTGTAGAGTCTTAATATTGAATTTGAAATGATTCACAACAAATGCATGAAACTTAACAAACACAGTATAGACATCAAATTTATTAACAAGAGGGAAAATCCAAGTGAACCTTGTGCATTCATCTACAAAGATTACATAATATCTGTAACCTTCAAGAGATACAGTGGGTGAGGGTCCCTATACATCAGTATGCACTTTCTCAAAAGGAACACTGGACTTATTACATTTAGAAGGAAATGGTTGTCTAGTCATCTTACCCCTAATACAAGCTAAACATAAATGTGGACTTTTATCTAAAGAGACAGATATTTGAGATTCTTACAACATTTTCAACTGAACCTCATTTGTAGGATGTCAAAGTCTGTGATGCCAGATAAAAGTCTTCACAAGTTGTCCCAAAAGAGCTTGAGGTGTTTTATTTAATAGTTAAGAATAGTTGAAAAAATGCTGCTGAGGAATGTAATACAAGCTGCCACTACTACTCATTCTTCTTAGTAAAATTTTCTTTGTTGCCTTATCCTGCACCCAGAGGCCAAATTCATCAAGTATAACATAGCAATGATTATCTTTGCATAAGCGATACATAGATAATAAACTAGCTGCTAATTGAGGAACATGTAAAACCATCTGAAGAGTTAAGGGTTTGGAAGAAGTTAAAAGAGAACCCAAACCAGTATTGGCAACAGGTAGACCTTCTCCATTGCCCACTGTGATCCTTTCATTGCCTTCAAAAGGTGTGACAAGTGTCAAATTATCCAGATCAGCTGTCATATGATGTGTAGTCTCTGTGTCTAGCACCCAATTTGGTTGTGAAGAAGAAGCAAAGTTTTGCTGAGCTTGTGCAGTAAGAGCAGTTAGAGAAGAAAATGGTTAAGCCCTTTGATATGCATAATTTCCTTGGTGGTAACAGTTGAGAGCAGAGTGACCTTTCATTCCACAAATTTGACATTCTAAAACTGGAGGGGCTGAGCTTGAGTTGGCATCATACCTTAAGTAACAATTAGGAGTTGTGTGTCCTTTTTTGTTACATATTTGACATTCGGGAATCAGTGTTGTCTTAGATCCACCATTGCCATTCCAATTCTGCCAATTCAAACCTTCTTTAGAACTATCAGAAAAACCATTGTTGTTTGAACCTCCAGAGAAACCATTTGAATTGCCAGAGAATCTGCCATTATTATTCCCATTGTATCTGGACATATTGTTAAGCCTTCCAGTGTTGCCTCCATTATTCTGATATCCTCTATTGTTCTGAAAATTCCTATTCCCTTGTTGATGAAACTGAGGTAGAGAAGCCTAAGAAACAATGCCGCCAGTTGGTCTGTGAGCATTACTTTTAGAAGAATTATGAGCTTCAGTGACAAAACCATAGGCACCAGAGAAATACTAAGAAACTCTTTGATCGTGTGAGGAATGAGCATTAGAGGATTCCCCTTGACAATACATGGCTGACATGGGAAAATTCAAAGTAGACTGTGAATTTTCAACTGTTCTCTCAGCTGCCAACAATTGTGCTCAAAATTCTTTCAAAGAAATAGGAGTTTCACGAGCCACAATCACAGTACGAATCATATTAAACTTAGTTGGTAAACCAGCAAGAGAAGCAACAATAATGTCATTCTCATACACTACTTCACCTGCTACCATAAGTTGATCTTTAAGAGCTTTAAGCCTCAACATATATTTTTCAACACTATCAGATCTTTTCTTGATAGTCAACAATTTAGTTTTGAGATGATTCACCCTTGCTATTAAAACTGTAGAATATTTATCCTGCAAATTCATCCAAGCTTCATATACAGTTTTACATCCTACAACATATTCCACTGCCTCGTCACCTAACGTAGCAAGAAGAAGACTAACAAGAGCTCTGTCTCGTTTAATCCATTCCTTGTATGCTGCTGTAATCTCAGTAGTGATACCATTATCTTCAGTGAACGCAAACTTCAGTGGACACACCAATGTGCCATCAAAGTGATCAAACAAATCATATCCCTCAAGTACTGATCGAAATTGAAATGACCACTTGACAAAATGATCATCGTGCAGCCGAATGGTTAACATACCAAGCAAACTTTCTACTTTTAACGTATTCATAACTAAACTTCTTGCAATTGTATCAACAAAGATCTTTCACAAGATTGC